ACAACACGAGCTGGTAATCCACAACACGAGCTGGTAATCCACAACGCGAGCTGGCAATCCACATTGTCGAGCTGGTAATCCACATTGTCGAGCTGGTAATCCACAACACGAGCTGGTAATCCACATTGTCGAGCTGGTAATCCACATGAACGAGCTGGTAATCCACATGAACGAGCTGGTAATCCACATGGTCAAGCTGGTAATCCACAACACGAGCTGGTAATCCACAACACGAGCTGGTAATCCACATGAATGAGCTGGTAATCCACATGAACGAGCTGGTAATCCACAACACGAGCTGGTAATCCACAAAACGAGCTGGTAATCCACAACACGAGCTGGTAATTCTCATGAACGAGCTGGCAATCCACATAAACGAGCTGGTAATCCACATGGTCGAGCTGGTAATCCACATGAACGAGCTGGTAATGGAGCGTCTATTTAAGCTGGGATGGAGGGGGGAAGAGCGCCTTGACAAAATAATTTGCATATCAAGAGGAATTTAGCATATTTATGGCCAATGCAGATATGCGATTCGTACTACTTTTGAAAAGCGTAGGGGGTTTGGCGGGAGGTTTAAAGTCATATTATGCCCGTGCATTATGCAGGAATAGCAGCATCAAAGGGATGGGATATGGGTAGCATTAATAAAGGGAAGGAGTGGTAATAGTATGTAGCTGCAGTAACTAAACCACCATGTAAACAACTAAAGTATAAACTACATAGTATCATCAGTATACTAAATATACTCTCCAATAAGCTGAGCTACTAACAGTAAGTAATACATTACAATTTTATGTCGCAAAAAATATAATATGCCTCCAGCTAAACTTTATTCTCTAACATCACACCGGTCTACCCCGTACTATATACTGCCATAGACAAACCCAACATTAAATTACATACTGTATTACTATACACTCATATAGCCACCTCAAACCCTATGGCCTTGATTGAATTGAATATCTGGCTTGCATGCCACAATGATTGTTATAATTTCAGTTGCTATACTTCAGTTATTTGAGGAAAGGGATTTTGAAGAAAAAAATGTCCCCCCCCCCCCCCCCCTTTATGCTATCCGATGTTTGCCTCTGTTTTTAGTACAATTCGGGGATGTATAAATTGCAAATGCTTTTTGGGGGCTCATTTCACGATGGAAGTGTTTTTAAAATCCCTCGGGACAATTTGTAGCCGACATATTTTGAAATCAGGAAATGTTAAAACTGACTCTGTGGACCTTTAGATTGTTCAGTAGTCAATGCCCAACAATCTTTGATCTGTCAATGAAAGCCTGTGAAAGAGAATGTCATTTTGAGCACAGAGCCCCCCTTTTTGGAAAACCATTCAACTCAGTGGCTCAAATGCAACTGTTTTTGACTCGGGGGGGCTTCATTGAGACAAGGGGTGACTCGGTTAACATCAGTTGCAGTATTTACAGATCTTCCAGACCATGTGTAAGT